AACTAAATGCAGGAGTTGTTTATATGGGAAATGACAATACCTGTAAAACTATTGGGATAGGTTCAATTCGATTGAAGAACCAAGATGGATCAACTAGAGTTCTGACTGATGTCTGATACGTGCCCAGTTTAAAGAAAAATCTCATCTCGTTGGGAGCCTTGGAATCTAAAGGCTCAGTAGTCACTATGAGAGATGGAGTTTTAAAAGTCACATCTGGCACACTTGTGATGATGAAGGGCATAAAAAATAATAATATGTATTACTATCAAGGTAGTACAATTATTGGAGTAGCTGCAGCAGCTTTCAGATGCGATGATTTGGATACAACCAGTTGTGGCATATGCGGTTGGGACATGCTGGAGAGAAATCCTTGCAAATTCTGGCAAAGAAAGGATTGTTGAAAGGTGCAAAGACTTGCAAATTGAACTTTTACGAGCATTGTGTTATGGGAAAACAGAAGAGAGTGAAGTTTGGCACCACTATACATAATACAAAAGGTATTGTGGATTATATTCACTCAGATATATGAGGATCTTCAAAGACATTGTCTTTGGGAGGAAACCATTATTTTGTAACTTTTGTATATGACTTTTCTAGAAGAGTTTGGGTGTATCTGATGAAATCTAAAGATGAAATGCTTTGAATTTTCCTTAAATGGAAAAATATGATCGAGAACCAGACTGGTAGAAAGATCAAACGTCTTAAGACGAACAATGGAGAGGAATATAAAAGTGACCCATTCTTTAACGTTTGTCATGAGTATGATATTTTTTGACACTTCACTGTTAGAAATATACCACAACAGAATGGGGTGGCATAGCGTATGAATCGAACACTATTGGAGAAAGTTCGATGTATGTTGTTTAATGCTGGGTTAAGTAAGGCATTTTGGGCTAAGGCTGTGACATATATTGGTCATCTCATCAATCGTCTGCCATCATCAATGATAGAAGGAAAATCAACATTGGAGGTATGGTCTGGAAAACCTGCTACTGATTATGATTCCTTACATGTATTTGGATCCACTGCTTATTATCATGTGAAGGAATCTAAGCTTGATCCGAGATCAAAGAAGGCTCTTTTTATGGGAATCACCCATGGAGTGAAGGGATTCTGCCTTTGGTGTTTAGACACCAAGAAGATAATTTGTAGCAGAGATGTTACCTTTGATGAATCTACCCTAGTAAAGAATGTAACAAATGAAGCTGTCCAAACAAGTAGTACTCTACAGCAGGTGGAGCATACTCCAAAACAGGTGGAGTTTCAGCAGACGATGATCCCAGAAGTTGATGCAGCTAATTCTTCAACTCCAATAGAAGAATTAGACGATGAAGAGGTTCAAACCCAATAACCATTGGAGACACCAGAACCACTTGCAGTTATAAGGCCAAGGAGAGAAATTCGTAGACCTACTCGATTTGTTGATATGGTAGCTTATGCTCTTCCCGTTATTGATGATGATATCCCTATCACTTACCAAGAAGCAATACAAAGCTTGGAAAGTGATAAGTGGAAAAGTGCCATGGATGAAGAAATGCAATCTCTCTAAAAAAACAACACTTGGAAACTGGCACAATTACCGAAAGGTAAAAGAGCAATTGGATGCAAGTGGGTATTTGCAAAGAAAGATGGATCTCATAGCAAGAAAGATGTTCACTACAAGGTAAGGTTGGTAGCTAAAGGCTATGCTTAAAAGGAGAGATTCGACTACAACGAAGTATTTTCCCCTATTGTGAAGCATTCCTTCATTAGAATATTGTTGGCCTTGGTAGCACAGTTAAATTTGGAGCTAGCTCAACTTGATGTAAAGGGTGATTTAGAAGATGAGATCTATATGACTCAGCCAGAAGGATACAAAGATGGTGGTTGTGAGAAATAGGTTTGTAAACTGAACAAATTGCTATATGGATTGAAGAAATCTCCGAGGCAGTGGTACAAGCGGTTTGATAGCTTTATGAGGAGGCAAAAGTACACTATAAGCAAATATGATCATTGTGTGTATTTGAAAAAACTCAAAGATGGATCTTTCATTTATATTCTCTTGTACGTTGACGATATGTTGATCGCTTTAAAGAGTCAAAATGAGATAGGCAAATTAAAGGCTCAGTTAAATCATGAGTTTGAGATGAAAGATGTAGGTGAGGCCAAAAAGATTCTTGGTATGGAGATAAGCAGAGATAGATAGAGAAGGAAACTTAGTTTAACTTAGAAGCAATATCTGAGAAAGGTATTACAATGTTTTGGCATGAATGAAAATATCAAACATGTAAGTATCCCATTAGCTTCTCATTTGAAACTTAGTTCTCAGTTATATCCTAAAACTAATGAAGAACGAGAATATATGGCAAAAGTTCCATATGCTAATGCAGTTGGGAGCTTGATGTATGCAATGGTGTATACGCATCCTGACATTTCACAAGCAGTTGGAGTTGTGAGCAGGTACATGCATGATCCTGGAAAAGGATATTGGCAAGTTGTGAAATGGATTATACAGTATCTCCAACAAACCATGGATGTTGGTTTAGTGTTTGAACAGGATGAAACACTTGGTCAGTGTGCGGTTGGATATGTTGATTCCGACTATGCTGGTGATTTGGATAAGCGTCAATCAACTACTGGCTATTTGTTTACTCTTGCTAAAGCCCCAGTAAGTTGGAAGTCTACTTTGCAATCTTCGGTGGCTTTGTCTACTACAGAGGCAGAATACATGGCAGTTTTAGAGGCTGTGAAGGAAGCAATTTGGCTTAAGAGGTTGATGGAAGACTTGGGAGTTGTTCAAAGTCACATTAGTCTCTATTGTGACAGTCAAAGCGCTATTCACTTAGCGAAAAATCAAGTCTACCATTCAAGGATTAAGCATATCGACGTGAGGTATCACTTTGTGCGGGAGATCTTTGAAGAATGAATGATTCTACTTCAGAACATTGCGACAGCAGAAAATCCTGCAGATATGATGACCAAGGTAGTAACTGTAATCAAATTCAATCATTGTTTGAACTTGATTAATATCCTGAAAGTATGAACACCTTCGGGTGTGTGGCACTTGTGAGCGTAATTAGAGGCACAACATCAAATTTGGGGAGTTGAAGAAGTTGAGTAGGCTTGGTAATTTCAAGCCAATGTGGAGATTTGTTATGTTTGGCTTGAAATCAAATTTGGCAAGTTGGAAAATTCATCTTGCTTGGTGACCAACTTATTGGAAAATTCATCTTTGGTAGGTGGCCAACTTTGCATATGGGAATTTCATTTTTGGTTCCTAAAATATTAGGTTATTTATAAGTTTAGTCCTTAAAACTCAACTATAAATAGGCGTAAGTATTTCATTAGAAATCATCCCAACAACAAGTTCTCTCTTTCATTTGTTTTCTTCATTCTCTCACTTTGGGAATTCTAAAGAATTTCATTTGTTGTAAAATTTGTTGATAGTGAAGTTATCATCCGGTGTGGTGCCCGAGGAGTAGACGATATTCTCGTCGAACCTCGTAAAATTGGTGTGTTCTCTCCTTTATTGTTCTTTATTCGGTTTTTCCATTGTGTTTCAATATTCAATAGTTTGACGGGTTTATCCACTGCGCAATCTTTGGTGGTTTTGATCTTGACAGTTTAGGTCAATTTTGAAACTACGTTCTTGAGGGAAATAACCCGGTTTCGCCAACAATATTATATAATTCATTAGTTATATCTTAGATAAGGTATATACTATTCATCGATCTCATTAGATTCATGAAGTTTAGAGTATCTCCTATTAAACGAATATTAAATCTATATTTAAAGTACAAAATGATTTTGGTAGTGAAATTTTAAAATGTATTGATTGTATTGATAATAATCATTGATGAGTAAAATTTATGTAGATGAAAAGAGAGGACGATGAAAATGAACGAAGAATAAAAAAATTACTATAAGAAAAAAAGAATTGACAAATTAGATATTAATATAGATCAAACTGATATTATTTGTGTAAATTTAATTTTTTTTAAAATATTTTTATATTATCTGTTATATTATAATATTATTAATTATTTAATAATAAAGTAATCAAAACATGAATAGTTTAAAATTTTAATATTAAAATTTACATTTGATTAAAAAGTTATTTAAATAACAAACATAACTTAGTCTAATGGGATAATGTATTAGATCTTTTAAACAAAGTCAATGGTCTGAATCTCGGTCTTTATGAATGGAGTAAATTGGATTGGGGAGTCACCCCTACCTCTATAATATTTAATTCAAATTAATCGATTAATAGATCGAAAATGATTAAGAGTATATTAATATCTCATAAGAAATATCGACTCCTTTCGAGTCAAGAAAGAATTCGATCCTTTACATTATAGTTTACATGATTATTTAAATGATAAAAGTTTAATAAGAAAAAAATTCTATGAAAGCAGAGTTTCTTGCACAATGTCGGTTAATGGCCCATGTCCTAATTATTCTGATGGGAAAATTCTTGAACAAGGATTGTTTTTCTTGAAAACACAAATGCCGAGAATTCTGGCATAAACTTCTTTAACGAGTTTCCTACGAGTTCCGACTTGAAATTCTTTACGAAGTTAAAAGGATTTTCGTATTCGAATTTATAGTGAGATAAAATTAATTTTTATAAGGTAAAATTATATATATATTTTAATTTTTTTTACAAAATTTCCTACAATGTTTCGAGGAATTTTGTAGTTCTTGAAAGTTTTTAAATACGATTTTATCTAAAACCATACAAGTTCCTACAGCTGATCAATTATGCTTATAAATCTACGAAATATCATATTAAATAGAGTAATTTATTATCTATCAAATTAGGAAATGTAACTATTATATTCGAATCCTAAACAAATAACTGTTTATAAGAATATTATCTTATAAAGAAATTGAAAGTGGGAGGAAGAGGGATCATACTACATGCTAATGTTCGAACCAAAAAATGTATGGCAATGTGGCAAGAAGTTGCGTTTCACCTACTTCTACATATCTTTATTCTTCCATGCCCCCACCCTTACAAATTCATCTTCCTTTCCTTTCCCCTTTCATCATTCTCTCTCTTTGGCTCAGCAACGCGATTGACCGCTTGCTTGATGGCCTGAAACCTGCATCCCCACCCTGCTTGAAATTTGCTATCAAACTTCTCTTTAATTTTCTGTTTGTGTCTATCAATGGCGAAAACCAATATTGGGTCATTCTTCAATAAATTCCTCTCTCTCTCTATCCTTCTTCTCCACCTCGGCTGCTTCGTTTTCACCGCCGCTAAAGACCACCAAAAGCCAACCAAGAAACGCAAATCCTCACCTCTTTCTCCTAATTCTCACAAGCACCGGAAAGCTCTTTCCTCCACCTGGACTTTTATCAAACGCATTTTTTCTTCTACTTCCAAAGCCAACGGCAAAAACAACGTCCAAGCACACCCTCCGACATCAGAAACCACACCGGCGTTAACCTCTGCAAGAAACTCCCAACAATCCCTTGTCTCCATGGTTATCCCACCTGAAACTCATTTATCAGATTCAGATAACGTTCATCCGCGCCATCAAATACAATCTGGGTCTTGTCCAGAATCCGACATCTCGTCGGACTGCCCGTTTTTCCCTCTACGTAATGATATCTTCCCATGCACAGCTTGCGGGGAGATTTTCCAGAAACCCCATTTTCTCGAACAACATCAAGCGACCGAGCACGCCGTATGCGAACTCACTGATGGGGATTCAGGCAACAACATAGTCCGGATCATATTCAAAACCGGTTGGACCGACAAAGTTAAGAACCCTGAAATCCACCGTATTTTGAAGATCCATAACAGCCCAAAGATCCTAACGAGGTTCGAAGAGTACAGAGAGCTTGTCAAAGCGAAAGCCGCGAGAAACGGTGCGATGGGGAGAAGAGATGAGAGGTGCATAGCTGATGGGAACGAACTGTTGAGATTTAACTGCTCGACTTTCACGTGTGATTTGGGACTTAACGGGAGCTCAAGCATTTGTAATCAACAATACTGTAGCGTTTGTGGGATAATTAAGTCTGGGTTTTCGCCCAAAATGGATGGAATCTCCACGCTATCCACGAGCTGGAGAGCGCACATGGCAATCCCCGAGGATGTCGAGGAAGACTTCAAGTTCATGAACGTTAAACGAGCCATGCTTGTCTGTCGGGTCGTGGCGGGTCGGGTTGGATCAGAAGGTGAAGAAATAAACAAGGAAGATGGTGGGTTTGATTCGGTGATCGGAAGGGGAGGAGGGTCAGGGAGTGGCGCATATACCAAGCTTGATGAGGAAGAGCTGTTGGTGTTCAATCCAAGGGCGGTGCTGCCTTGCTTTATCATTGTGTACACCGTTTAAGTGTGAGATCGTGTGTATGTGATCTCTTTCTGCAGCTTATTTATTTATTTACTCAACCTTGATTTCCATTTCTTAATATAGTTTTTAAATCACTTGGGGACAGGGATAGTGAAAGTTTTGTGAGATATGGCGATGTCTATTGGTGATGATGATGGTTAATTTATGGTTGTGTTTTTTTTTTTCTTTTACAGGTTTTTGTACCCTTGTGTCTGTGAGGCTGTGACCCAAAAATAAAAAGGGGTTTACAGCTAAAATTAACCATATGATCATGGAGATTGCTGTTATGCGTTGATAGATTATTATGTATGCTGGGTTAAACCAGGATTTAACTCGTGTATCTTAGACTGTGATGTAAATCTTGTGTTTGAATAATAGATTAGTACCTTTTTCTTTTTATTTACGATTTAAGAAATTCGCAGAGTAAGTAAAAGTGTGATGTTCCATTTCTTTTCTTGATCTATGAAATAAAACAATAATCATTTTAATTAATTAAACAAAATCTTAAATCCAAATTTTGTTATCAGCACACTTTGGGTTAAATATTTTAGGAGTTCTTGTATTATATCTAAAAAGTTCATTTTAATCCCTCTACTATAAAAAGAAGCAGTTTAGTCCCTATGATATACTTAAAAGTTCCCCCTACTATATAAAATGACATTTTAGTCCCTGTACAATGTACATTTGAGAAGTGATTATCTAAAAAATTTAAAATTATGGATTAAAATGAACTTTTAACTATATTAAAAAAATTAATACTTATTTTTATAATAAAATAACTAAAATAAACTTTTAGATATAATATATGGAATTTAAGCACCCATTTTACTTTTTTGATATAATTTAAAAGAGTGGATTAATACCCAAAACAAATTGTAGATGATAATAATGATATGAATTATCATCTATTTTTTCAATTGTCAGGTAAAATTTATTTGGTTTATGTAATCAATATCCAAATCTTCGATATTAGCAAATGGAACGCATAGAAATTTCACATTCTCAAAACTACATAACAAATAGAGAAGGTAAAGTGCTTCAATCATTCAAGTTGAAGACAAAACAATATCTTGGCAGAGATAACTGGGGTCGCGCTATACAATATATTTATTCCATATTTCTAGCAAAAGTTGAGCATTCGGAAACATTAATCAGTTCATTTGGACCCATCAAAAGTTTTCTAGACAGTATTGGTCACGATGATGGACCGCCATAGTTTTAACAAAAGCTACAATTTAGTAAAAGGGTTTTTCTTTTTCTTTGGACCCATCTTAGCTCAATGTTACCACAAGTACACTGAGGTTTGGGCCTTTCAAGCACCATCAAGCAAATAAGCTAACTAACTATTGGACTTGGAATGGAGATTCCGGGAACCCGACCCACCTAATACTTATTTAGGTTCACATCACATGCATTGAAATTGAGGAGTACGTTTTGATCTTGAAATTCATACGTAACGATTATTAAAGCATAGCACAAACAGAATTTTTATAGTCTAAACCAAGTTTTTCAAACATAGGCAAGGGATGTCAGAAATCCAGATTTCCAGATAAAATAGAGCCTTCGAGAACGGAAATTGTTATTAAAGTAACCAAACAGCATAACATGTTGCTACCACCAGAATTGAGAAGAAACCATCTCAATCAAGTCCATATCTCTCCTTTCGACTGAAGAAGATTGGTCAGACAATGACGGGTCCACTGTCACGCTGGTGTCGCGGTAACCACTAGGAATTGACGCAGTGGGTGCTCCATTCAACAGGCGAGACAAATAGAGGTCCGAACACAGATGGGTGGATCGAGGCTTTTTTTTCTTCAAGGCTAGCTGAGAACAAGTTCGGGTCAATAATGGAAGCTGCGAAGCTACCATCATCAGCTGGATTAGACCACTGCTGATGAACACCAGTTAGGCAGTCAATGGTTGAAGAGCCTTTGCTGGGGTTCTCAACAATGATTGGTTTATCATCGACGGATGGTTGAATATTTACGTTATAATCATTTGAAAAGAAGTCTTGCATGAACTGGAATTCTTCATCATGTGTTTGAGCCATAAAAGGCTGAGAATCATCGGATTCGATTGTTTCTTCAGGGAGAAAATATCTAAACCCGCTGGACAAGTCTTCAGAGAATGTGATGATTTGAAGAATTGATGATTGAGGTTTGCTATTTTGATTACTATTTTGTTTGATCTTCTTCCTTGAGTTTTGCCTTCTTTTTGTAGCGTTCCAGTGATCTGTTTTCCGGCTCTACCGACCAAACCCTCAGCTATCTGTGCCCATTTCCTCACTCCATATTGCTTCACCAATTTTATCAGTTTCCTATAAATTAATATATCAACCAAAAATAAAAACCTGGAATATTTTTTCTATCATAAATTTGTATCGAGTAAAGAAGAAAACAAAACAAAACACAAATCTGTCAAGGAAATTGAAAGTTGGGAAAAGAATGAATAACTGTTCTATATATCACCTGTCCTCCTCATCTGTCCACTGACCCTTAATCAAAGCTGAGGAGGCAATTTTCTTGTTTTTTTTCTCCCTACACTTTTAGGGAAACTCTTCATTGAAATTTTCGCTGCTTCATTCATTTCCATGTTAGGGTTTTTATCTTCTGCCGAAGCATGGTTGTCCCCATCTACAAGAAGCCGATCAATGAAGCTTTCTTCCAAGTTACGTTCCAATGAAGCCCCGGAAAGATAACCGCCGTTTGCATCATTAGAGAAGGAGAAACCACGAAGCAATCCATTTGTAGTAGAACCGAGTCCGAGTGGTGTTCCTTTGCTGATGTTAACGTTGTTTTGCGTTGAATAGAGCTTACGATGGGAAGTGTGGTTTTGACCCCATAAAAACCTTTCTATAGCCGATAATGGAGGACTAGGTTTATATAAAGATGACTTACAATTTGGCGCTGAATTACTACATCCATAATCTCCTCCTTTACCTGGTCCTCCTTCCATGAAAGAGACCTAAACAAGTTTTAAAAAAGGAAAGATAATGTTTTTTTTTTGCTTTGTTTCTAATGTATATTTGTAAGAAAACCCCATAACAGAAGCTTGAGACAGTAGAGAATTGAGCTTATTTAGCTTGTAGCAAGGCTTGGAAAAAGGCACATTTTGATGAGCTGGTGATCTATAATCCAACGACTGAGAATTGTTGCTGGGTGTAACTCCTGAGCTTCCCCTCTTGGACAAAATTATTAAGTAGAGATGGAGAGATTAGTGGGTTCGTTAATAAACCGACAATTAATTATGTAGTAATTACTTAATTAATCATTTTTCTTGAAAATTTGAAAAATATATACTATATGTTGAGTGAAAAACTAGATGGTAAAGCATGGGGGTAATCCCTAGTATGGATAAGAACGATGTCATGACAAAAATGGCCTGCGCAAACGAATGGTGATTCTGGGTTAACAAACTAATGATTAATGGATGATATAATTTGTATGTGTGTTTCTAGATTTGAATGAAAATTAAATTAAACGTTCAACAATGCATAGAAATGAGATTTGGGTTATTTGGATTAGATTTAATTGAGTTTGGACTACATTTGATTTAGGCGTAATATAGATCATATCAGGTTTAGTTTAAATCTACAATAAATTATATTGAGTTAGATACCAAATTAAATAGTTATCAATTCAGACTAATATCAAATTGAATCAATCCATTTTCAAATTATGTATCAGATTAGATCATTATGGATTCGGGCCACTTCAATAACCGCTATTATGGGTCAGTTTCGTATCAACGATATTCGCATTCAACTTTTGTAACCAATCATGGAGTAATATATTTGGTTCGAAAAGTAAAGTCGCAGAAACATCTCAACCACCTTTGGCCCATAGTCTTGCAGCCTCCTTCCTTGGCCCTTTAAAACAAACAGGCCTTTAAGTAGATAAGCCTATTAAATGAAAATCTGTCCCAACCAAAGAAGAAAAAAACATGGAAACTCTAAGCACCCCTCTCCCGTCTCTTCCACGTTACTCAACTTCCCTAACTGTCAATAACGACCACGACCGCCCTGTGTTTCTACATCTCAAGCGTTGCACCAATTCAAGCCAGCTTAAGCAAATTCATGCCCAAATGCTCCGCACTGGACTTCTCTTTGACCCATACTCCGCTAGCAACCTCTTTGCGGTCTCCGCTTTGTCGCCTTTTTCGAGCTTGAATTATGCTCGTAAAGTGTTCGATCAAATTCCCAAACCGAATCTTTACACATGGAATACCCTCATTCGGATTTATGCTTCCAGCCCTGAACCTCTCAAAGGAATTTTGATCTTTCTAAGGATGGTTCATGAGAGTCCTTATTACCCCAATAAATTCACTTTTCCCTTTGTGATCAAGGCTGCTGCTGAGATTTTTAGTTTATGTGTTGGGCGGGAACTTCATGGGATGGTGATTAAGGCTTCTCTAGGAGCGGATGTTTATGTTTCCAATTCGTTGATACATTTGTATATGTCGTGTGGAGATTTGGATTCAGCTTATAGGGTGTTTATGATGGTTGGTGAAAAAGAAGTTGTGTCTTGGAATTCGATGATCACTGGTTTGGCACAGAGGGGTTGTGCTGAAAAGGCGTTGCAGATGTTCCAGAAAATGGAAGAACAAAATGTGAAGCCAAATGATGTGACAATGGTGGGCGTTTTGTCAGCCTGCACAAAGAAACTGGACTTGGAGTTTGGGAGATGGGTGCATTCATATATTCAAAGGAACGGGATAAGTGTGAAGTTGACTTTGAATAATGCAATCCTAGATATGTACACCAAATGCGGAAATCTTGAAGATGCAAAAACATTGTTTGATATGATGAAAGATAAGGATATTGTCACGTGGACTACTGTGCTTGCTGGTTATGCTAAATTGGGAGCATATGAGGAAGCAAGACAGATCCTTGATACTATGCCTAGGCAAGATATTGCTGCATGGAATGCCCTTATATCTGGTTATGAACAGAATGGAAAGTCAAAGGAGGCTTTGTCCATATATCATGAATTGCAACAGAGCAAAATTGCTAAACCTGATGAGATTACTCTTGTTAGCACTCTATCAGCTTGTGCTCAATTAGGAGCTTTGGAAGTAGGTGATTGCATCTACGTATATATTAAAGAGCTCGGAATTAAGCTAAATTGTCATCTTACAACCTCGCTAATTGATATGTATTCCAAATGCGGAGATATAAAGAAGGCCCTTGAGATATTTTATTCTGCAGAGACGAGGGATGTATTTGTTTGGAGTGCCATGATTGCAGGTTTGGCGATGCATGGACAAGGGAAAGCTGCAATAGATTTGTTCTCTAGTATGCAAGAAACTATGATCAGGCCAAATTCTGTGACCTTTACTAACGTATTATGTGCTTGTAGCCATGCAGGGTTGGTAAAGGAGGGCAAAACCATTTTTGATATGATGGAACCAGTTTATGGAATTGCACCTGAGCTCCAGCACTATTCTTGCATGGTTGATATACTTGGTCGTGCAGGTCTTTTGGAAGAAGCTGTTGAATTCATTGAGAAAATGCCAAAACCTCCTAGTGAATCTGTATGGGGAGCTCTGCTTGGGGCTAGTCAAATTCATGGAAATGTTGAGCTTGCTGAATGGGCTTGTAGCCGTTTGCTTGAGTTGGATCCTCAAAATAATGGAGCATATGTTCTTTTATCTAATGTATATGCCAAAAATGGGAAATGGGATGGTGTTTCTAGATTAAGGAAGCACATGAGAGTGACTGGACTAAAGAAAGAACAAGGTTGTAGCAGAATTGAGGTCAATGGAGTCATTCATGAATTTCTGGCAGGAGATAACTGTCATCCTCTTTCCAATGAGATATACTCGAAACTGGATGAGATTGTGGTGAGATTAAAATCAGCTGGCTATGTACCCAACAAGTCCCACCAGCGGCAACTTATTGAAGAGGATGACATGCAAGAGCATGCTCTTAATCTTCACAGTGAGAAGTTAGCAATTGCCTTTGGATTACTTTATGTGGAAGCATCTCAGCCTATCCGGATTATAAAAAATCTTCGTGTTTGTGGGGACTGCCACTCAGTCGCTAAGCATATATCAAGAATTTATAATAGAGAGATAATACTAAGAGATCGGTATCGATTCCATCATTTTAGCGGGGGGCATTGTTCATGCAAGGATTATTGGTGACTGTTATATACATCCAAGAGAGATTACTCAAAATATGTAACTCATGAAACTCTAGTAAGTGCAGTAATGGCTTCCATAGATCCCCAAGAATTTCAACCTTAGAATTCACGTGCTGGCAATGTATTTACTACTTAGTGGACATATTTTGTACTAAGACTTGATCATCCATCCGTTCTGTTCATCTTGAAACGGTAACTATTTTTGTGTCAACCGTTTTATCTTTTGCTTTTGCTTTACTCTCTACGAGGAAGTTCTACTATTCCTATGATCCATAACCTGCCTTACTCTCTGAGGGGGATACCAAACCATTGAATTAACTAACTCCTCCGCTGAGGTCTTTTCAGAGGACCAACGCAACGCCACTTTGATATACTCAATAACCGCTATTCTGGGTCAATTTCGTATCAACGATATTCACATTCCACTGTTGGACGTCTTGGAGATGCAAATCAGTCAGGCTGGTTGCTACACCTCATTTTTTTTCCAAAGTAGATTTTCTTTTCAATATTTCGTTGCTTGTGTTAGTTTAATTATCTAACTGGGAATGTACATAGATTGCATAATACGTTTACTTCTGCCTATAAAGGACAAGCTTCCTTGTTTCTTATAATTGAAAGCAAACAATGTTTGATTCAGTCTTATCACTTGCTTTTCGCTTAGGCAAGTTCTCATTTAAAACTAAGAATTTGCCTTTTTAATTATGTTTACACCACTGGTTAGCTAGTATTGATTCTTGATTTCTCTGCAACTTAAAGCCTTAAAAAGCTGTTCATGTGATAGTTTAGTCGCAAAAAGATAATCTTGGTGAGAAATGATCCATACCGGTAAGCATCCACAAGGCCACAAACCATGTTGCACAAGTATGTAGGGTAAAAACATGAACAAGCAGCTATGAACAATATAAAAACAGCTCTTGAACACCATCAAACTGAATCATCAATTAAACAAGAACTCATGTCAAAATAACAACTGTGTATCGGCCATGAAACATTTATGTTGAAAATAGACATTCGAACCAAAGCTTAGGATAAATCCAGGCAAAAAAAATGACCACGACTCTCTAAAATGAGTTGCACCGGACAGGTAATGGTTAAAGACATCTTTGCATATAATTTTTTGTCTATCTGGCATGATCATCATGATAAAATCTCTGTGTCGATGGGAGGATGAATTCCTGTTATATCCCGACCGTTTCTCATCATCTCTCTTATCATGATCTTCTCTTATATAAGATTCTGATTCATTACTTGAGAATCTTTTTTCTCCTCTCCTGTCACGATCTCCATTAGGTCGTTGCTCAAACTCATCATCACCATGCCTTTTTGATCTACTTTCATCCCTCCTATCATCTTTTACCCTAGCCTCGTATTCACCTTCATCACCATGCCTTCTTAATCTCTTTTCATCCTTCCTATGATGATCTTCTACAGACCTTGGCTCATGGTCGCCATCATTGTGCCTTCTAGATCTTTTATCTTCCCTTTTGTACTGATCATCATCATTATGCCACCTTGATCTCCTATCTTCACTACCGTTATAATCTTCTCTTGACATTGGTCCAACATCTTTACCATCATAACTTCTGGATCTCTTTCCTTCTCTCCCATCACTTTTCTCTGAGGCCTTCTCATCGCCCCTAGCTAACCGAAAACCTTCTTGAACTACACGCTCTTGCATGCTAAAACTTTTTTCGCTCTTTTTGAACCCTCAAATTTGTCATTTCCCCATCTCGAACTTTTATCCTGATGACCCCAACCAGTGTTTGCAGCTCTCTGGGCACAAAACAGAAAAATATATAAATAGCAGAAACATAAAAGACTGATCGTAGGCACATGATATATCAACTACATTCGATACATGATATGTATAAAACACCAGCCCTTGCAAGATGGAGAAAGGAAGAGAAAAATGAAGAATAAGAGAGGCTAAACATTTTCTATTTTTTAAAAATTTAACAACAAAATTAACAGAGCATTGCACAATTAATTTATGTTGCTAGGACTCTTCATTGTTCTTGGAGTATCTCTGTACAGCACATGGATATGGGGACGTGACCTTCAAGGGTTCTCCAAACACAGGAGGAAACTTTGAAAATTATGATCATACCCATATTGGATACATACATAATATTTGGTACTCACACCCGAGCGCAAGTATCATAGCAATTAATAGTACAACCGCATTATTGCGCTTGGACATATGGTAGTTTAGTAGCATATCACCATGCAAATTTTATGATTTATGATCCATATGTTGAGATCAATAGATAAAAAGAATAAAACTGTTACTTCCTTCAACTCAAATTAAAAATAACAAATAGTTCATACGTTGAAACTATGGCATAGCTTGGCCATTCCATTTATTATAACATTTATAGATTATTGACTAAGCAAATCAAGGTAAAAAGTAAGTAGAATTTACTAACATAAGCCACGCAAGCTATAAATTCATCCGGTCCTTGAACAGTAACTTAAAAATGCATGTTCATGATTATTGTGATATAATCATCCAAATTAGTTATATGTATCAAAAAGCAATGCTAAGTGGAAATGAATCTTACTTGCTCGTCATGGGAAAATTTACATCCTGCACCGCGGGTACATTCTCCTCTCTGGAATGCCTAACAAACCCCTCGGGCTTCCCTCTTCTTTTGTTCTTCCTCTTCTTCCTCTTTCTTCTTATACTTTTCGGCATGATCAACCCTTATAATTCGACCCAAAATCTGTGCCCCATTAAGGTTATCTTCAATGCCAAAAAAAACCCCTTAATTACATCATTTTCCTCATTATTTATAATACACATCGGATTCGAACAGTTAAAAGAGAGATAAATCCTAACCTGCAGCAAGAATTGTACTTCTCTGATCCTCATAAGCAAGAAACGCAAAACCTTTCGATTTCCCAGTACCCTTATCTCTAACAAGATTGACGTCTACAACTTCTCCATAGCTGAGAAAAATAAATATATATTCAAGTCAAAGATGTAAAGAATTACAAAGTGGGATAAACAAAAGGAAACATGAGAAGGAAAACATACTGGGAAAAAACAGCGAGGAGGTCACCTTCGGTGAGGTCATGCGGAAGACCACCGACAAAGACGTATGCGGAATCTTTGTACTTGGCGTGCCATGATGCTTCCTCTGATATTCCTAAATCTGCTTCTCTCGCGGTAATGTTCTGTAATCGCTTCACTAGCGTCAACGGATTCACGGTTTCCCTTTTTCAACCAAAAACCCTAATCTCGAATCCAAAATTTTAGCCCAAAAATCGGGGTTTTTGCTGTCAGCTCGTTTTCTAAATGGATTTAATTCCGACAGTGGAGAAAGACGAGACGATGAAAAAGAGTATTATGCTTAATAAATCATTTTGAGTCTGAGCGGTCCAACGTCTTAGCCCATTTGCTTTAATAATTTATTAGATTATTTATTAAAAAAAATTAGTAGAGATAAGATCCAAAATTAAATAATAAGCAGCAACATTGATGCAATGAAAATCTTTCATCTAGCTCTCAAACAAACATTAATTAAACATTGAATATCTAAACAGCCCTTTGTACCTGTTTCAACCAAAATATCAGAATAAAATGGTAATCTTATATTTAAATTTGTAATCTAATTTTGATTTTTGGTATATTTCAAATGGTTGAATTGTCAATATCTTATTCATAGTTTTAATTTAACAAGTCTTCCATGAAAACATTATTCATCTTTTTGAGCCATTCTAAACCCAATCATTTCCTCTCTTTTTCTTTTGCTTTCTATCACATCATATCCTAGTTTCTGTCTGGTAACTTAATGTTCAATTGGAACCCTCATAATTCAGTTATGGAAATTGGCTGCAGGAACATGTTCATTTTAAAGCTTTAATTTACTGCCTTCAGATGCATGGCAATTCATTTGAAAGGAATCTTGCTACCTTAAAGGGGAAAACATCAAGTGGATTTGTAAGTGCCTGTTACTGAGCTCTAATTAGATGTATTTGTTTGAGAACTTACGTATTAGGTTCATTGTGTTGGTGTTCTTTTTGACTTGGTGTAGTTTCTCCCAATTGTCTTTCTCTGAGTTTCTGTTGGTTTTGGTCACACCAATAAGCCATCAAGGTTTCCGAGTCTTTTCCCTTATGCTGTATGAAGTAGACGACACCGTCCAGTTTTTGTTAGACTAGAAAGAATAAAAAGCTCGTGGAACAGTGATCTGCCTGTACTAGGACTCATGTTCTCTGAGTCTGCATAAACAGGGAAGCGACTAAATGTTTGTGAGACACTTCTTTTCCTTTGGGTAAGCTAAGATTTCATTTATCTGAAAATGTAGAACCTTCAACAAAAGAGTACAACCGTTGAAAGCGGAACATGGGAATTAACTAAAATCTCCTGATATTCCAACAGTGGCTAGGGCCATTATTGACTACCTCTTTACTGATGTGGTTGTAACATCTACCACTTCATAATTTCTGGGATAGATGCAAACGTTTGACCAAATATCATACTGTTTGTGGTACACTTAATGAGGTTAACACCCTCCTAATCCAGTTTTCTCCGTTCACAACGTCAGGATTCGAACCCCTGACATCGCTTAAAGATCTAGAGCCTCCAACTAGTACTTGGTCCTATACTTAACTCTTTGACAAAATTTATCTTATCCAAGCTTCATGCGATTCCATTCGGGCACCATCAAGAAATACACCGAAACCACGCACCAGGGACTCTACCCCTGATGGTTTAAGAAGCAGATCTAGCGGTGCAAGTGGATGGAAAATAAGTTTTTCTCCGGCATCAACAATATCAGGTTCACATTTGAAGTTTTCTGACAACCACAATGTATCCAGCCCAACTCCAGGTGCCAGGAAGCTCTTTACCGAATCCTCTCCTTATCAGGGTGATTAGAATATTACTGTTCCTTTAAGAATGTGCCTATATTTGATAATGCTATTACATAATTTCCAAATCTCTACAGGATCCAGCAAATTCAATTATTTAGTACAGGAGAGATAAATGCATCGGACATATATGTTGAAGGTCATTATTTGTTTTCCTAGTTTAAGCACTCAATAAGTTGCATTGTTACCGAAATTACCATTCAAAGCTTGATTATGACCTCCACCCTCGAGAATCAACAACTTGGAAAGTTAATTCAGAGAATATTAGTTTGAATCATGAGGAACCCACACTAGTCTAGGTGATTCCGAGACACACTTGCACGGTTAGATTTGAATCTGATTACTTAATTTGCAAACAATGCACTTTATATCAGGATCCTTGTTTTATCTCAGTCTTTGTTATCTAATTACATTTTACTTCTGGTAAACTGCCTGTGCTATCATTTATTTTTATTAATAAATAAATAAATAACTTTTCTACAGATTCTCCAGCTGTAGAGTCAAGCTCCCCTTCAACGAATGAAAAACCAGATTGATGCAAATGAGACTAATGCAAATTCATTAATATATCCTTATCAAAGATTGACAGTGTCGTCAACTGAACCAGTTTCAGGCATAGATGTGACCAAAAGAGAGGCACGAGCAGCCTTTTAACAGTACTTCACTTTCAAATAAACAAAGTTTGGTATTTTGCTCTGATGCTGCAAGTTTTGAAACTCAATATGCTGTGCTTTAAAAGTTTGTGCCTCACAATCGGTGAAGCTAAGAACCAAAATTATCGATTTAAATCCGTTTTCCATACCATGATAATCTATTTATCACTAGCTCACTGCTATCGATTTAATCTGCCTATCCTTTGAAATGCATCTGAAACTCGTGGTTGCATTTTCCCGTAGGCATACTTGTCTGAGGAAGTGTTTGCAGAAAAAAAACCGGCATGCCTAAGGGAGAATCTATAAGCTACCTAAATGGAAACAGATCAAGCTCAAGATGGCAGTCCATCTTTTTTGATCCGCGATAGCCCAACAACTTCTGCTTGAGTAAGTCTTTTTTATTAGATGGAATGATTAACCCTTCCTGGCCAGTTATGTTCCAAAAATTACATTTAATCACACTAGTCAGTTCCTGAGCTTAATCTGTAATAGTTTGTTTATGCCTCTTCTGAAAAATCAAAGTAATGAACACTGGTTTGCTATATTTTTTGAAGCCGTATATGGTTGATTCTATGTTGTAGTTTTTGTTACGAAATTGCACCAGGAAACCAGTTATCGAAGTTGTTTTTTTCGACAACGATAATGATACTGTGTTTTTAATGTAAGGCGTGACAAGCTTGGGGTCAGATGTTTGTTTTGATGAAGGTGATCATCAACAAGTTCAATGCTTTTTTGTTTTTTAATTCGAAAACGATATTTAATTCGAGTCCGACAAAATTAGTTAACTGAATAATTATATTTTGAATAAGTCTAATTGGCGTAAGTTCAATATTGAAAACTAATATGTGAATTTCCTCAACTCTTCTATTTGTATAACAATATTATTTAATTTGACTTGTTTTTAAAAATTAAAATATAGTTAAGCGCTAAAATTTAGTGTCCAGAAGAATTATAATATTATTATATACTGTAGCTTAAGAAATATAAATATTATTATTATTATTAATCTTCTACGGTTCTTATACAATTTTGCAAAGCAAAGGATTTATCTATTTAAACTTTATAAATAATGTTTATAGGAACTTGAAACAACTAGCTTGAATAGCTCAGTTGGTTAGAGCGTGTGGCTGTTAACCACAAAGTCGGAGTGAACCCTCCTTCTAGCGCGTTTTGTACTCCGAAAGCATAACAATAGGTATACATGCACTCTGAATTACCCGTATCTTATCTAGAATACAGATTTGATTTAAGCTTTACTTTGATCATATGAAAAAGGATTCATCAGAACAGATTTTTTAGCCTATGCAGGTATAATTTGTATGATGCGACCAATTTCCTTAATTATTAATATTCCTGTGGTTCCATTGCTGAGCCTGAGAGAGATCTAATCTGGGTTTTCATTTGGTAACAATATCAAAGCAATGAAATTGAGTTTAGAAGCTACCCAATTGCATGTGGTATGTGGTTCTTAGGATCTGATTTTCACCAGATTGTCTGCAGAAGAGTTTGTGATCCAAGCCTACGACTCCGGATTCGGAAGCATTTAATGATAGTTAATTATACTCTGAAAGCAAGTAGATAGTTATACAGTCATACTAGTTATATATATGTATATACAGACAATTATGATGGAAGCCCCAATATTAAAGCAATCACCGAACATGAACATCATAAGGAACAAATACAGGGTCTGGGACAATAAGAGGCAATTTATCAATGTACATGAACAGCCTCTTACAATTGTCTCTCAATATTGATGATAATTCAACTACCTCACTCTTCTCCGTGTAAATCCAAAGGTCACCCGAGTTTACCCTTTTGAGACTGTCCCGACAAAACGGGCATGACTGAGATCGGCCGTGCCTGAAATTAACGCGAAAATGAAACAGCACTGGATCACTTACAAAGGAAGAGTGGAACACGAATCATGAACCTATAAGATATTGTAGGCATTAATTATATGCAATAAAACCGGCTATGGTAGCTTCCCTCATGGATAATTCTACTAAAGAAAGAATAAAAAGGTTAATGACTCAAGGACGTACAGCATACACATGGTCATCGATCCACATAACAGTTCAATGAAGTAGTACTCGGAGAACGGAACAACTTACCAATCCCGATAACACTTCAAACACAAAGAGTGACTGCAAGTAGGCAAAACAACCATGCCGTTCATCTCCATGCAGATTCCACACTCTTCTTCTCTTTCCAAGTCAATTTCGGAGAGTTTCCCCCTTTCAGATTCATCCTTCTTTCGGTACCTCATGGTACACACTTCTTTCTGTTTCCTATCTTCCAAACTGGTAATGCCTTGTTGAAGTTGCAACAAAGAAGGAAATATAACCGCTGTTTAAGAAAATCAAACTAGTGAGCCTGATTTCCCTTTAGTGAAGCTTGTACATTGTCAGCACCAACAATTAGAAAGAGAGACCAAGACAGAGAATAAGCATATCAAGTAAAACTTTTGATTTCTCAGAAAACTCACTGACCATAAAATTCTCTGATGCTGGCTTTCCTCTCATAAACTGACATGGTGGTCTTGCCATCCGCGTAAGTCTGCACCAATTCATGACATTGCATCGCAATCGCAAGTATGTATCAGGTAACAGATTAAAATTTTGATACCATAAAGAAAAGAACGGCGAAATAACCTGGGGGGAGTTGGAGGCGTTATGCGAAACAAAATCAAACAACTGGAAGAGATAAAGATAATATCACCAAAAATTGTATGGTGAAAGGAACCATACCATATAAATAAGTATTCGGAGCAAACCAAGAGAACCAGCTAGTTGACAATCACTCCACTGAACAAGAAAAAGGAAAAACTGAGCGGCAGGACTGTAGGAGAGTCGCATTTGAAGACGTGCTCCATCTTTCTCTCTTGGATAATCTAATGCCCTGAAATCGGATACAGGGTTAATAATCAAGTAATGCTATTAATAAAGCAAAAAATAAATGAAAAAAAGGCCGTCACTCCTACTGTGCACTCATAAATTAGCATTGACTGCGGAAATTGGTACTCGATGAGTTTGTTCCTCAGTAGCTACAGGTACAACTAAAGGACAATATTCATTAACTCCATCCATCGTCCAGAAACCAAATTTTTTCATACAAAGAATGTAAGCTTAGATCATATACAAATTACAATCAAGGGATACCCTTCATTCAGAGCTCATTGTTGGGTTGGACAATTTCATTTGTATGTGGCCTTGAGCAAACACAATTGAGAAAACCCCATACGAGGTTTTGACTAAACATTTTAAACCCATTGTCGATGAACAATACATGACATTCTGAATTACAACTGATTAAAAGATGTTTGACACCTTTGGTAACCTATACAGGAATAGGATGTTCAGAACTTCATAATTCGGCTGTGAAACTTTTATTGTCAAACACAAAGCATAAGAAACAATCATCCCCAACAAAGTCAACAACCATAAGAAAAATACATGACCCATAAGTTTTTATTCGAAGTTTGGCCTTTGTTTGAGTATATATTACTCTGTTTCGTTTTAGAAGGGGAATATGGGAAAAAATTTGTTTCAAGTCAAACAGCCAGTATATATATATATATCAAACAGAAAAAAGGAAGAAAATTAAATTAAAAAAAACATAGAGAAAGATGCATACAGAGTATTGGCGTGTTGAATATCAGCTTCGAGCGCTTTCAGTGAATCCTTAAAAGATGACTTTGCCATGAGCGGGTATTTTCCCTGAAAATTATTCCCATCAAACAAACAAGCGCGCGCGCAGAAATCAGGCAGCAAAAGTGAAGCCTCTCAAAAGGACAAAGAAAAATCTTCAGACTCCAAAAAGAAATGGTATTCTTGTAAATTCCAAAATAGCCTCGTAACTAGCGAACTCTGTCAGTTACGACTTTAAGCAAACCGAGAACCAAGAAGGAGGATTACGAAATTACAATATTGTCCCTAATTAGAGCATAATCAGGTACTGGATTTTTTTATATATACTGTCAGTCTTTTTGTGATCCTGAACAGATTGTAAAGGCCAATGACGTGGAAGGAAGAAACAAGATGGAATTCTGAGCCACGCGGTGGGAGACGTGGGAAAATGTTATTGGCTACATCAACTGAATATTGTGTAATTGTCAGTACGGAATCTATTAAACATGGTTGAAGCGCCTAAGGTTTTATAAAACCAAGGTAAATAAAAAGTTTAATATAAAAATAATTATCTAAATTATATTTTTTTTATTTGTATGTTTAAATTATTTTTCGATTAATTTAAATGTATAATGTTATAAAACTTATAATTTTAAGTGTTTCGAATGTAATAGTCAATTTTAAGTGTTTCGAATGTAATAGTCCTTAAAATTTTCATTAGATGACATATAGGAGTGAAGTTAGAAAATTTATTTTGAGTTGTCAACAAAAATTAAAAGAAAAAAATAAATTTTAAAATTTTTATTGTTAAATATTTATTTTAAATGTAGAGTCAATTTCTTTTTAAATAGTGTTAAAATCTTTCTAAAAGAAATGTCATTTTTCTTTTATATTAAATGGGTTAAGATCCACTTATACAGTGTAAAACTCTTTAGATTTTACATAGATCTAAAATTGTGTGATAATAGAAAATAGATGGTTGAGATTGACTTTTTTTTCCAGTAAATATTTTCTTATTTCATATTGTTAATATCAGACATCTATTTTTACTAACCTAACGGTCATAAATCTGTGTAAAACTAAAATAGTTTTACATTATGTAATTAGATCATATCTCATATTATATGGCTTCCTTGCTTGTGTAGAGCAACGAGAAACAAAAATTCCCCATATAAAACTCTCACAATATTATTTTTTGATCTAGGATCATTGCTACAGTGTAAAGGAAAAGACGCTAAGAACGTCGTGCGACTTCAATTTTTAGGGGGAAAACGCATGTATTTCCATGCGTATTTAACTTTCCCAAGGTTAAAGTCGCATAGCAATATTGGAGTCTTTAATTGAGAACTCTATGCATTTCTGAAGTCTTTTGAAGGTACTGTAACAATTGCCCTAATATGAGAAATAATGTTAGATGTGGATTATATTGGTAAATTATTTTTTGAAAGACATTATTTTAGCCATTATCCTCACATATATATAATTCATAGGGACAAAAAAGTATCTTAAAAACTTTTAGGATGTCAATAGACACTATTCAATATATATTGGTTCCATCAACAATGACATGTGTCACATTTCGATAACTTCGAATATTTTAATATAAAGTAAAATATATTATTATATTAAAAATATATTTATTAAAAGTGCATGACATGTGATATTTTTTTAAATATTTGTTTTTTAAACATAATAATATATATATTAAGTTTTTTTTAAATAAAATCTCTAAAATTATTAAAACGTGATAAGTGTCACTCGACAAAATTTAACTAAAATGATAAAATTATTAAATTTGATTTAAATTATTAAATTTATTAGATTTTAAAGTTTAAGGAAATTTTATTTTAAAAAATATTAAATTTGATTAAAATTATTAAAATTATTAAATTTTAAAATTTTAGAAAATTTTAATTAAAAAATAAAAGATTAATTTAACTAAATGATAAAATTCAATCTTAATTTGATTAAGAAAATATCCGAGATCAATTCGATAAAAATTATAAAATTCAAAGGTGTTTTGTGTTTAAATATATTTTTAATCAAGTCATGCACTAATGCTTTTGTTTAATTAATCATTACATTAGGCTATAATGGTGGACGATGCTGAATAATTTAATATATTTTTATAAGGATCGGTTAACTTGATTATATAAATGCATAAAATTTAGTAAGAATAAGAATGCACCATCAAACTTTTATTAAAGAAGCTCATATCAAACACACACAAAAATGTATTTTTGAAACTCCTACAATAATGGCTTAAAAGAAGAAGAAAAAAAAAGAACCTGGGAAAAAATATACATTTTTGTTCAAGAATTTTAGAGGATTTATAAATTTATGCTCTAATATTATATCTTACGTTGATCCTTTATAGAGTGATACTAGTCTTCTTTCTATTTTTTTTCTTTTCGCTTCTTTTACTTTCTCTTTTTTATCCACTATTTTTAAAATAATTTTTTATATATTCAATTTATGCATCAAAATTAATTTCATAAATATTCGGATTTATGTTTGTTTGTTCTCTAAAATTTTCATTCTTTTTATAAATATTTCATTTCAGAAAAAATTTACATATGTTATTTTAAATTATATTTAATATTATATCATCGATAAACAGGCATTTAGTTATTTTATTGATCTGTTCTTTTTGTGGACATTTAAATTGATTTTTTATTTTAATAAATGCTTGATCTGCATATTTATCCAGGCCCCCAAAAGGATAAGGTCAATGAGTCACCCTAAAATCCGCAACCTGGCATGGTTGATATATCTTATATATATATTTAAATATTTTTCAATAATGGTCATATCCCGACAAGAACTAAAAAAGAAACTAAATCGAAAAGTCAGCCTAATTTTTATATATCCAAAATATCTACTAGAACACTTTGATATTTTATAAGTGGTTAGACCTACGAAAATGCTGCTTCAATTGATTCATCTGAAAATAACATCCTTAAATAGCAACCTCTAGAAAAATATGTATCCGAATCATTTGAGCTATTATTTCAATTTAATGTTTCTTTTTATTTTAAAAGATATTTTTGATTTTAAAATAAATAATTACATGTATTAAAAATTGAACTATATTTATTAAAATTCATTTTAAATAAAGAATTATATAAAATAATTGGATTAAATATTCACAACCAAGATAAGATGCTGTATTTTGCGGTGCATTTTGACAGTCGTAGTTTGAAGAAAAAGACGTTTCGTAAAATAATAATTAAAATTCTATGATATTTTGAGTCCAGTTGGTCTCCTGGGCCTCAAACCATTTCAGATAAGATGAGAGTGTAGGTTGATAAAAGTCAAAGCTCATCTCTTTCAAATGTATTCAAACGATCCTCGTTTCTTAATTATCAAAATGGGAACCAAATACTTTTAAAAGACGTCGGGAAAATGGATGATCGGCGACGGCAATGACGCCCTTGAATTGGGGATAGAAACACCAAAACCCCTCTACCCTAGGTGGCGCCACCAGCTAAGCTGCGATTGAAGACGATGATTTGAGTCCCAACTTCACATTAGTACGTTCTAACAACCAAATTTTGAAATTAGTCAGTGTTTTGTAACGATAAATCAAGAATTTAGACGTTTTGATATAAAAAAATATTATAAATGTATACAATAATTCAATCGGTCAATATTTTGTAATGATAAAATAAAAAAAAATTATATAACGCTCATCGAGCATGGATGAACACCGTTAACAATGAGTATTATTAAATTAATTTATAAAACCTTAAATTATAAAGTACTAAACATATATTTATAGACTAGTTAAAAATCTAAAAGTAATTTAATTAAAATATAATATTTATAAAACATTGATTTTAGGGTAAATTATATCATTGACCACCTAATTATTTATCTCTTTTACTTTAACCATTGATTTTTCAATTTTGTCAATCGGGTCACCTAACTATTTAAATCTTGTCGATCAAGCTACCTACCGTTAAATATTAACGGATGATATGACGTGACAGTTAATAAAATTTATATAATTACATATTTAGTCCTCATTACTTACACATTCTATTAATTTGGTCATAACTTTTAATTAATTCAATAAATTTAATCCCCAATTAGATGGTGACATGTGTCATTATATGATTGGATTTTTCTTAATATTCTTATTTAATTTAATAAAATTTTCATCAAATCAAATGGTGTCACGTGTCACCAATTGAATAAATAAAAAATAAATTAAATCGATATCTGATATTGGTGGGTTTAAACCCAAGACGCGAGGAGAGGAAGAAAACACCCCAACGACTGGCCTGCACCATTCAAATGACAAACTTGTCACATCATAATATATATAGTTAAAGATAATAAAAAAGGGAAAATGACCTAATAAGAACTCCAACATGGAATAATTGAATAATACAATAATATGATATATATGCATAAATATTATAATAGATTAATATATAAATGTATTTTATTTATATTCTAAATCATTTTAATGAAAAAATAAAAATAATTTTAATATATTATAATTGAAATATAACAAAGAGTTTCATTGATTTAGAATTCTTTTGATAGTTGAAGACTTTTCGTAATAAGCATTCTAACTTATGCATTGACTTGTTTATATCTTAGTTAGAGTAAGAATATTATATTTTATTATTTATTCATTATATATTTGAAGAAAAATTTAGGGAAAACTTGATTTTACTGAATTAGTCTATTTTAATATAGAATTGTTAAATAAGATAGAATCTGATCAACTTTATAACATTTTAAAATATAAGATATGATACATTTAAGTTCAATACAATTAGAAAAATAAAGACAATTTATTAATTTACAGTATGATACATTTCAATTATAACATATGAAATTCACTTTTATTTTAATTTTGTATTAAATGTTATTTAAAATATAAATAAAACATATTCATTTATTAATCAATTATAATATTTGTTTATATATATTTTATATTTTCATACAATATAATTATTTCATGTTTGAGTCCTTATAAGGTCATTTATTACCATTAACTATATTATAAATTATATAGATTATGTCCTGTATATAGACAAATTTAGTGGTCCAGCTTAGTGGTTAGAATGCTCAATTTTTCGGCTTGCATCCTAGGTTTAAATCCCACCAACAACGGTTATTGATTTAATTTATTTTCCATTCATTAAATTGGTGACATGTGGCACCATTTGATTGGATGAAAAATTTATTAAATAAA